TTTTTTTTTTTTTTTTTTGCATCTTAATCAAAATAGTAATAAGATGTTGCAATTTGTGTCAGGTTACTGGCTACAAATTTTGGGTGGATATTAATTTAGAGTTATGGGTTTTCTTGAATGTATTTTAAAGGTTATTTACATAGTGTCTAATTATGGTAATAAAGTATAGAAGTTATAACTCTTGGAATGCCTCGTGTAAAGTTAAAGGTTTTCATTTTGAGACTGTATAAAGATATAGTATGTTATCTTTGTAAAATAGACTTGGAAAATGTAGTAAAATGCAGTAAAATGAGCATTTGTGTTTTCCATTGGCCAATGGCTAAGTTTCTTTGCAATAGCTATTATCTGTAGTTTAGGTTACTTGTAGAATTATTCAAGCTTGAGATGATCAATCTTGCTTGTGGAGTGATTTGAATCTTGAACAAGTGTTCTTGTCATGAGATATTCGTTCAACAAGGTAATCTGAATCTTACTTTCCTTGTAGTGATGGCTTATCATTTGGTATCAGAGTTTTTCCTTGGGTTGATTTCTTATCATTTGATATCAGAGGTTTTCCTTGGATTGATTTCTTATCATTTGGTATACAGCTTTCTCATAGGTTGATTCCTTATCATCCGTACTATAAACGGATAAAAGTCTTATACATGTCTTTGCATGGGGTTCATTTGGGAATGATTTACCAAGATCAAAAGCAATTATGCTCGAATTCTAATTGTTTAAACAGTTTATTTACGTGTCAAATCACTTACTTACTGTTGTCTCGTGCATGCGACGACGTGGAGATTCAAATGTCAATGAATTCATTTTTCTTCTTTTTTTGTGTTCAACAATATGCAGAGTAGAGATTCAAACATTTGACTTTCTAGTCGATAATACATACTTTAGGTCAACAATATGGAAAGTAAGAACGTTTGAACATATAACTTCTTAATCAAGGTTATATATACGTATCGTTGACATTTTTAACTCTATCAATTTTCTAAGATTTTGACCGAACATGTTATTTTTAAAACAAATAAAGAAAAAAATCGAATTAAGCAAAGTTTATCTTCGACCATGGTCATATAAGGATCCGATTATATCCTAAAACTGAAACTTCAATAGTACATGTAATCATGTGAAAGTATGCGTATATGAGCTCAACAGTTACAGGATGAGAGTTTGAACCATCGACTTTTAAAACAAAAATGGATCATAGCAATCTCAAACTAAGCGTTAGATCATCCATATTACATAAAATAGGTGCCATGTGGGAAATGGAGGGAGCTGACAAGTCAAAACAAGTAGAGAAGTGGATGACAAAGATAGCTTGAGGTCCACGTGGACAGTTGCAGTTGGACTCATAGATCCCAACCCAATCCAAAAACCTAGGACACCTCGAATCTCAACCAGAATTTGGATTCTAAAATCTGTGGCTTATCTCATTCTTTCCCATTTCCACTTTATCATTCCTATTCTTCCTCTCACATCACTCCCCACCAACCCCTTCTCCCCTTCCCTCTCAAACAAAGCCATGGCCACTCAGGCACTTGTTTCATCTTCCTTAACCTCCTCGGTGGGCGCCGCCAGACAAAGATTTGGTCCCAAACCCTGTCTTGGATCCTCCACAAAACAAGCTTCTTTTGTTGTTAGAGCTGAAGCCACTCCTCCCGTTAAGGTTATTCTCGCCCCTTTTAATCGATGTTCGTAATCGTTTGTTGAGCATTGTGCTAGTTTTCGAGCTCCGAGAGTGTTTGATTATGTGTAAAACTCTAAATTTACCGTAATGGCTTAACCTATTGACTTTCCCTCTAGAGTTTAAATGTAGCTCAATTGAGTAAGACATCTGTTACCTTTTCTAAATAGTATTGATTGTGAGATTTAATATTGTGTTCTAATGCAGCAAGGAGCCAACCGAGCATTATGGTTTGCTTCAAAACAAAGCCTTTCTTACTTGGATGGAAGGTATATATATATATCTTCAATCAAAAAGTTGACGTAAGAAACGAGAATGTTATCAAACAGATCTAAAATAAAGCTTTGATTTGATTAACAGTCTCCCAGGCGATTACGGGTTCGACCCACTAGGGCTATCGGACCCTGAAGGCACGGGAGGGTTCATCGAGCCAAGATGGTTAGCATACGGGGAGGTAATCAACGGGCGGTTCGCAATGTTGGGAGTAGTAGGAGCCATAGCCCCAGAGATATTAGGGTCACTAGGGCTAATCCCACCGGAAACAGCCCTCCCATGGTTCAAAACTGGGGTGATCCCACCAGCAGGGACCTACAACTATTGGGCAGACCCCTACACACTATTTGTACTTGAAATGGCTCTAATGGGGTTCGCTGAACATAGAAGATTTCAAGATTGGGCTAAGCCAGGGTCCATGGGGAAGCAGTACTTCTTGGGTCTAGAGAGGTTCTTGGGTGGGTCAGGGGACCCAGCTTACCCAGGTGGGCCCTTGTTCAACCCTCTAGGGTTTGGTAAAGATGAGAAGTCAATGAAGGATTTGAAGCTAAAAGAAGTGAAGAATGGAAGGCTTGCAATGTTGGCCATATTGGGTTTGTTTATACAAGGACTTGTCACTGGCGTTGGCCCTTACCAAAACCTTTTGGACCATTTGTCTGACCCTATTAACAATAACCTCTTGACAAGCCTTAAATTTCACTAGATTTGTAAGTGATATCGGTCGATGCTTCTTGTTTTGTTAGTAGATAATGAACTAATCATTGAAAAGTACTTATACGAATGGAACGATGGGTCTGATTAGAAAAAAGTTATGATATATAAGTTAAAAGATGATGGGAATGTTGACAAGTATCTTGAATTGCGTGCCCTAAAAACTAAGGGTGCAAGGTGGTCAAGGTGGGAGACCGGTAGGACAGAGTCGAATGGGGGAGTCATGTGGGTGTGGTTCTTGTTTCGCTAGTTGTTTACACAATTTAAGGCTATTTTAATGAAAAAAATATATTTCTCGAGCTAAACAATCTCAAGTTAAACAACTCTTATTATCTAAGAATGTACACAAGTTCGGTTGAGTTGAAAAAATCTTTTGAACCAACTCGAATTAGGTTAGTGACCGAAGTAACCTGAATAGAGTTGACATCCAAAAACCCAATTCAACCCTCTACATTTTAGTTAGATTGGGTTCGGTTTTCGAGTTGTTCTTTTTTTAATTATTTAAAAAAATTATATTTATCCACAATATATGTTAAAATCTCATCTAATTTTAAATATCAAACAATCACAAGTGACAATGAATCACTATCAGTCACAAATGTAAAAAATTCTTAATCTTCATATAATAATCTTAAAGTAGGGTAAATATAACAATTCAAGTTCACTACCAGCAAATATTATCCGCTTTTGCTCGTTATGTATCGTCGTCAGCCTCACAGTTTTAAAACGCGTCTACTAAAGATAGGTTTTCACACTCTTATAAGGAATGTTTCATTCTCTCTCCAATCAATGTGAGATCTCACAATACCGGGTTGTTACGGTAAGGCTAAGTTGGGTCGTAACAATATTTTCGAGTTGGTGAAGTGGGTCAGGTTGACCCAACTAAAAATTCTCTACACGCAAATCAACCCAAACTTGTTTAGTTTTCCAAAAATTTAGTAATTCAAATTGATCGAGTTATATGAACACTCTTTGTTTGTCACACCACTTAGTGACTAACTCTGATACTATCTGTAACAATTCAAACTCATTACTAACAAATATTATCCAGTTTAATCGATTATATATATAATTCAAACTCGAGAATGAATTGACTTAGCTCACTTGTCGTTGGAAAGTGAGTGCTGCACAATCGTAAGTCCGCTGCCATCAAAAGTGCGATTGTGACCGGTGGTATCAGAGCCAGATTTTAGAAAACGAGGGCAGAGAGAGATTTTTTAAAAGAGATTTTTGAAAGAGACTTAAGCAAGAGAGAAATAACAACCTATAAAACCTTGTGGAGGGAAAAGTTGACAACTAGTCCTATCCCCTAATAGTACATTCGGACGCATTTCATGTCTGACAGACCTACACATGATATTTCTGAAACATCATACTCCCTAGAAATACAAAAGTAAAATACTAGGATATGACAAGACATAAACGGGCTTGTCATGGGCATGCGGCCATAGGAACATGCCTTGGACGAGCATGACCGTGACATATATATGTATATATAGTTGTCGGTCTCGAAATGAATTATTGTAATGAATTATTAAGAAAACGACGAAATTATCACTTATGAACGAATTATTTAAACACTCTTCAACGACCCCATCATTCTCATCCCTTCCCCACACCTCAAACCCTCCATCATCAATGGCTTCCTTCTCAAGAATCCTCTCCCCATTTTCACTGTTCCTTCTAATTCTCGCCATTTCCACCCAAACCCATCTCTCCTTTTCATCAATAGACAAACCCCTCAACCCAACAGACATCCACGAACTTCTACTCCGTTACGGTTTTCCCGCTGGTCTCTTACCCAACAATGTCAAGTCCTACACACTCTCAGACGACGGCGCCTTCGAAATCGAGCTCAAAGCCGATTGCTATGTCATGTTCAGTGAGCTGGTTTATTACGAAAAGAAAATCACGGGGAAATTGAGCTATGGGTCTGTGACCGATGTTTCTGGGATTCAAGTTAAGAAGCTGTTCTTGTGGCTCTCTGTTTCTGGGTTCAAGTCTAATCAAGGATCTGGAACCATCGTGTTCTTTGTCGGATCCTTGTCTGAAACTTTTCCGGCAGAAATGTTCCGGACGATTCCTGGTTGTAGAAGGAAGGGTTGCCTAGGAGGAAGAACAGAAGCCATGTGAGGTAATTTTGATCTGGGTTGGATTGGATTTGATGTTCTTGAGTGATTGATTGCTTGTTGAGTTTGATTTTTGCTTATGAATGTTCTTGTGAATCATGGGTCTGGAATTTGTGTTCTGAAATTTGGGTTGTTTGCTGTGATTTTGGATTTTGTTGACTGAGATTCTTGTTTGTATGATCTATCTATGTGGTTAAAATGAAGATGGAAAAGAAAATTTGAACTTTTACAACCGTCCACACCGCTAGCCGAGATTGTTTTATTTGAGCTTTTTCTTTTTGGAGTTCTCTTTAAGATTTTTAAAATGCGTCTGGTAAGAAGAGGTTTACACACTCTGATAAACAATCTTTCGTTCTCCTCTCTAACCGATGTGCACCCCTCCTTTGGGGGCAAGCATACTCGTTGGCGCTCGTTCCCCTCTTCAATCGATGTGGAATCCCTCAATCCACCCCTTTCGAGGGCTAGTGTCCTCGTTGGCACACCGCCTAGTGACCATCCTCTTTTGAGGTTCAGTCTCCTCGTTGGCACATTGCTCGGTGTCTAAGGGTGTGGAAACCTCTCCCTAACCGATGCGTTTTAAAAATCTTAAGAAAAACCTCGAAAGGAAAACCTAAAGAAAATATCTACTATACAAAGGAAAACTTAAACGGTTGTTCTTCAGTCATCTCATTAGGCCCCTTTACGCTACAATGATTTGGAAAGTTGTTAGATGATAGCAACATAGCATGAATTTCTTGTCACTAAATGATTATAATCTTCAATGTCTTCTAGATATTGTTGTGTCTTGTTTGATAATCATGCTTGTTTTTTTCCCCAAAGCTGATATTAATCTCTGTCTGTCTCTTGCAGGTGGAAATGATAGCTTTCCGAGCATGTTCATCTTTGCTTCCACAACATTAACAAAATGTTTCTTTCAATAATATTATCCTTCTACTATATCAGATTTCATTATCAAATGAAAATAATAAATTATTATCAAATGAAAATAATGAAAATTTATGTACTTTCTACTTGGTGCAAGTGTCACGATTATATTTGTTTATGACGTGTTACCTACGGCTGCATGCCCGTTAAATGTCAAACCTCTTGCATTGTATCACTTTATTGCCTTCTTTTAACGTTTTCATGATGTATAGTTTACTTCCTTTAGAGCTCTTGAACAAACTACATTATTCAGACTTTCCTTAAACAGTCCTATAGACAACTACTTCTTTAAAGCCGTGAACCATCAAGTAAAGCACACTAAGTTTTTCTTTAAATAGTCATATCTATCCGCTTAATACTATCTAGATGATTCTTTTGAAACACGTTGCCAATCTAATAAAATTTTACTATGACTACACTTTCCGGACTCCTTTATTCGACATCATAATATTTGTCAGTGCAAGTTAATCAAACCAACCTTCATCCTTAAGTATTCCAATCCAGGAGAAGATGCACAAATCAAAATGGAGGGCAGAAAGGGCAAAAGCAGATAAAACCCAAATAAGGGACACTATGGAGCTTTGGATTGATGCAAAAGCATGATGATATGTACATATTCTTCCTACATTCTTTACAAGTATTCTTCACCTACATGATATGTTCGTCACTTTCTTTCTTTTTTCTTCTTTTATTTCCTTCTTTCCCCTATTTACTAGCCAATTTGTATGGTTCGTATACTATCTTGCTATTCCAATCAAGAACATTCATGTTCATTCATTTACCTTACGACCGAGCGCCATTGGCTTCACTGCAGCCAAAACGACAGCAACTTTACACGCAAGAAATCCCAGCATTCCTATCACCACTTCTTTAGGTGACAGCATCATGGTTGAATCTCCCAAGTTGAACTTAACTGTAATAATGGAAAGTCCAACTGCCAGTGCCAAGACCGATAAAGGGCCTCTATATCGTCGATCTTCATTCCCAGTTGTTTCATAATTTGAAGTCGGGGCAGGTAATTCGTCCACAGATCTTTGCAAGAGCAACAGATACAAGAAACCAAGAATGCCACCAGCTAAGAATGCAAGACCGGCATTTTCACCAGCTGAGAAGGATGAAACAGATGTGCCAGCTAGAATCAATAAGGCATCATAAGTAAGCAAAGAGAGCTTCAAGTCTGCATATTCTTTCATGCTTTCCTCATTGGAAATACTGTCAATAGTGGCTAAATTTGAAAGGTTGGAGCTTCCATTCAGGAAGAATAAGGGCTCGATTCCACGTACTTCTGATACCAGGCAAGGCCTAAGTTCTACCATTGATTTGTCGCTGCCCTCCCCGAGCAATATATCCTCGGCTGGGAATTCATACTTGACACCCATGTATTGAAGCTCATGCCCTTCAGATTTCGACTGAGATATGACATACAAGCTTAGACTTCCAAGTCTCCACTGGCCTGGATAAGATGAGGAAAGAAGAAACGTTTTGTTAAATTTCTTGCCAAAATCATTTTAAGTTCTGCAAAGAGACCGAAAAGTTTTTAAAACGCGTCAATGACACAACCTAACCTGAATCAACGCTGAGCCAGACAGATTCTAATCTACCCAATTTAGGTCCCTTGAGGACGAACTCATCCGAAGAACCTCTTTGGAATAAGAGAATTTCAGGACCATCCAAAACATCCTTTTCTTCTGAATGATAATGATCTGTCGTCAAACTTGCAGGTATTCTCTGTAATATAGAATTACCCTTTTCATCTATCAAGCACAGGAGAATTCCAGCATTCATGTCACTTAGACTAGATCCATAGAGCTTGCTAGTGCTTATATCAACCTTGAACAAGACATGAGATTCATCTCCCTTCATAGATGATAGGATTTTCTCAATTGAAGTTTTCGTGCAGACCTCCACTTCCGAGGCTTGTAAAAGATGTGAAGGTTTGGCATAATCCTGAAAATCTGCGACCAGGTTACATGAACTTGCAAGAACTTTCATATCAAAGTAAAAAGAAAAAAAAAAAGGTAACTTAATCCAACACCAAAGGGTTACATAATTTTAGTTCCTAAAATCTGAGATTTGTGTAGATTTGGTACTAAAAACTTTTGAATTTTTTAAAATTCATAAGACATCAAATTGAAATTGAAATTTCATAGATTCCAAAATGACTAGGTTTATATCACTGAGGAGCAGAATTTAACTTTTCTAATGGTATAGCATTGGAATTCTTGTCATTTCCATAGATTATTATCATAGAAACCATGAAAATGATCAAATAAAATCATCCTTATTCATTGAAGGGAAAAAATTACCTTGAAAACGCGAACGCTTTGCACGAATTCGAAATCGAGAAACCGAGTACCGAGAACAAATTGACCTTGAAAAAACAGAGTTCAACGATTTCCTTCCAGAAGTAAAACTTTTCTGAGATGCAAAAATTAGATGCCTCGGAGCAAGTGCGTCCATATCCACTACTCCAGCACACCAGAGAAACATGGGAGTGACACAATCCATCTCAACAAAACCTATAAATCGAATCGCAGAATTGAAAACGTTCCTATAACCATTTCAGTTCTCCACAGCGAATTCATAATTAACAACAACATCATGATGCGAAAATGAAAAACCTCCAATCTAGTTGAATCCACAGATATCTAATCGAACGGCTGTAATATTTGTTCTTGGATACGAAAGTAATCTTAATCGGAAATTGCTCAAAGAAAAAGAGAGAATACTGAAACTCACCGGAAACTGAGATCGCCCGACGAAATTAGCATAGAAAAGCAGCCATCGACGACGGGAAAATCGGAAGAAAGAAAAAAGAAAGCGTATGACACACGGAGCCCAAGGGATTTTTGTACCATGACCTAAAAATTTGGTTTTTTTTTTTTTTTTTTTTTTTTTTTTTTTGTTTTTTGGCCTTAACAATTTTTTTTAAATTACTATTTTTTTTTATTTCATAATTTATTTTGTTGGCTTAACATTTTTTTTAAATATAATTTTTTTGTTTTTTTATTTAATTCACTCTCGCTCTCGATCCCGCTCCAACTCTAGCTCACTTTCTTGCTCTCAATCTCACTCTTACTTCTTTGCTCTCGCTCCCTCGCCCTTACTTTGTTGGCCCGTCAATCCGTGACAACCCCTCAACAAAGAGAGTGAAATGCCAAGCCCTTTCTCTATTAAAGCAAAAGGTAAGCGCTATCAAGACCTTTCAACGGTTCAACGTGCTTCCTAGTCATTGTTGGAAAAAAAAATAGCTTCCCTCGTTATCGTTATGGTTATCGCTAGATTAGGAAGAAAATAGGAGCGACACGAGAAGAAATACTTAAAGAGTGAAAGAGATCGAGAATTGAGAAAAAATAAAAAAAAAAATGAAATATTAAAATAAGTTCGAAAATGTTCATTAAACCTTACGTCAAATACCATCTTGACCGCAATTTGTAGTTGAAATAATTTTTTTAGATCAATCTATTAAATTATTATTTTAAAAAAATTAATATATACAACTATTTATATCAATTCATTTATCATAATTATTTTCAATTAATTTAAAATCATATAAAAAAATATACATAAAAAAATAGAAAATACAACTAAATGCCTAAAATTCTTTTTTAAAAAATTAGAGTGATAATTAAAAAAAATTAAAATTAATAAAATTTGAGTGATATAATATTTTTTTTAAAATAATATATATGTATATATATATATATATTATAAAGTTATTTTTTAATATAGAAAAATAGAAAATACAACTAAATGCCTAAAATTCTTTTTTAACAAATTAGATTGATATAATTAAAAACTTTAAAATTAATTGATTGATATAATATTTTTAAGAAAAAAAATATATATAAGTTCAAATCTAAAAAATAAAAAAATAATAATAACTAATTACAAATTTTAAAAAAAAATTAAAAAAAATTAAAAAAAAAAAATTGGATAATTGTTCCTAATCTTCAAGTCTTGGATTGAAGATGAAGATCTTCTTCTTCCTACAAATCTTCATCAACCCGAACCAGACAATCCCGGCGGCGGTCATGGAAGCACTGACCAAAAACACAGTGCTATGCGTGAAAACCATCAAAACCACCAAAAACGCCGACGGAACCAAACACATCACGATCAACCCCGGCAGCTCCAACGGAACCTTGAACGGCCTTTCCATGGCGGAATGCTTCCATCTCAGCCATATGAACGACGAGAACTCCAGCAGCATCCCCAAGCTATACATGAAATTCGCCGACGCAACAATGTCCGTGAAGTCCAAATACGAAACCCCAACAGAGATCGCCGTGCAAATCACAATCCCAATCCATGGAGTGTTGAACCATTTCGCTCTCGCCGCGAAGAATTTGGGTAAAATCCCAATTTCCGCCATACCCAGAATTTGATATGCACTGCTACTTAATTGAGCTTCGAATAGTCCAATTGCTGACAAGCAGGCTCCGATTTCCAGGAGGATTTTGAGCCATTTTCCGGCGAGTATCTCCGCCGCTTGGGCGTGGAATCCGGATTCCCAAGCGGATTGTTGAATGTCGATGGCGCCGGTGACGGCGAGAAGTGGGATTAAGTAAGATAGACAAGTGATAATTACTGATATGAACAGAGCAATTGGGAAGGTTTTTTTGGGTTTTTCTACTTCTCCGGCGAGTGTGCTGACGTTATCCCAGAAATTTAGGTTCCAAAACAGAGTGTTGAGGTACAGATTCCAATCTGTTTTTATCGATTTATCGCCGGAATTTCCCCACCGGTGGGGTTTGATTTTGGGGATGGCGATTAATGTCATTAAGATGAAGGGTAAGATGGATAACAGAGCTAGAACGACGGCGACATATCCGACGATGGTGAGGCCGATGTAGTTGAGGGCGGCGAGGACGACGGAGGAAGCGAGGAGGGCGGTGCGGCGGGGCCAGCCGGATTGGAGCTGGGGGGCGATTTTCTGAATGTAATTGATGCAGAGAACAGGGTAAGCGGCGATGTTGATAACGCCGCTGAGGATTTTCCAGGTGCCCATGAGAGAGCCCCAGAAGGGTCCGAAGGCTGTTTGGGCCCAGATGACGAAGCCGCCGTTGCCGGGGAAGGCGGTGGAGAGCTCCGCCGTGATCAGCGCCTCCGGGACGCTCCATATGAAAGGGAAAACGATGAAGCCTATGATGGCGAGGAGAGGTCCGGCGGCTTGGACGGCTGGCTCCTCGCCATAGGGGCCGCCGGCGACCTCGAAGTAGATGAGGAAGATGAGGGGGATTAATGTGAGCTTCTCTGCGGCGGCGATGGGGGAATTTGGGGTGGTTGTGGGGAGGATTGGAGGAGGTGAGTCTGAATTTGAGGTGGGTTTTTGATGGGGGCCTGTATTTGTGACACGAATTTGATGATCCATTGATGAATTATGATCAGATGAAGAATTTTGTTGAAGAAAGGGGACTTTAAATAGATGGATTATTATACAATTTGGTTAGGATTTGAATTAATATGATTGAATTTTTTAGAATCTTTAATTTGATTCGGATTTGATTTAGTTTTACATTTTTTTTTATAATATATATCTATCCGAGTCTAACCCAAGTCCACCACCAGTAACATGAGTAGATATATGAGTAGATTTTGTCAGGCCCAGTCCGATTATTGTAGGATTCATGATTTAATCTGAGTCCAAACCCAAGCCCACCACTAGTAACCACTAGTAAATATTGTCTGGCCTAGCCCGTTACGATCATCGTAGGACTCACGATTTAATCCGAGTCCAAACTCAAGCCCACCACTAATAACCACTAGTAGATATTGTCTGGCTTAGCCCGTTACAATCATCGTAAGACTCACGATTTTTAAAACGCATTGAGAGGAGAGGTATTCGTACTCTCGTAAGGAATGATGTTTCTCAGATATGGTTCACTTTGGCTATCGTCGTCGATTTCATTGGGAGGGATTTCTACACTCTAAAATGATTTGTTTCCCTCTCCAACCGAGATGGGATCTCACAATCCACGATGCTTCTCACTCCCTCACCCTGTAAGATATGGTCTACTTTAGCCCAAGCGTATCGGTCTATTTTAGTCATATGATTTATTTAATCATGTTGTCAACTTCACTATTTTTTAAAATGAGGTTTTCACACTGTAAGATAAGATATAGTCCATTTTAGCCCGATGCTTATAGTTGTCAACTTCACTCATTTTTTAAATGAGTCCAAGCATATCTGTCTAATAGTCCATTTAACCTGATGCTTAGTCAACTTCACTCATTTTTAAAATTTTTAAAATGAGCCCAAGCATATCGGTGTCTAATATAGTCCATTTTAGCCTAATGCTTAGTCAACTTCACTCATTTTTTAAATGAGCCCGCATATCGGTGTCTAATATAGTCCATTTTAGCCTAATGCTTAGTCAACTTCACTCATTTTTTAAATGAGCCCAAACATATCGGTCTAATACAGTCCATTTTAGCCCGATGCTTAGTCAACTTCACTCATTTTTAGCCCAAACATATCGGTCTAATACAGTCCATTTTAGCCCGATGCTTAGTCAACTTCACTCATTTTTAAAATGAGCCCAACGTATCGGTCTATTTTAACTCATTTTTAAATAATGCTTGGTCAACTTCACTCATTTTTAAAATGAGCCAAGCATATCCGTCTATTTTAACTCATTTTTAAAATGAGTCCAAGCATATAGGTCTATTTTAGACCTATGGTTTACTTTAACCTATGGTTGTCAACTTCACTATTTTAACTCATTTTTAAAATGAGCTCAATCATATCGGTGCATGTGGTTTACCTTAACCTATTTTTTAAAATGAAGTTTTCACCCATAAGATAGAGTCCAATTTAGCCCAATGCTTATAAGTTTTCACAAAAAATGTTTTGTTTGTTTTGTTTTCCTTGAAAATGCGAGAGTCCACTTTAGCATAGGAATTTTCACACTCACGTAATAATGTTTTGTTTTCCTCATCAACTGCTTCTGCTTCCCACCACTGTCAGATATGGCCCACTTTGGCTCGTTACGTTTCACACTGTTATGAGAATGGACCGTTTCCCTCTCCAACTGAGGTGGGATCTCACAATCCACCATGCTTCTCACTGTTGTAAGATAGTCCACTTTAGCCCATTACGTATCGTCGTCAACTTTACTGTTTTTAAAACGCGTCTACTAGGAAGAGGTTTCCACACTCTTATAAGAATATGGGATCTTAAAATCCACGATGCTTCCCACCGTTATCAGATATGACCCACTTTGCCCCGTTATGTATCACCATCAATCTCAATGTTTTTTGAAACACATCTTAAGGAGAGGTTTTCACACCCTCGTAAGAAATATTTCGTTCCCCTCTCCAACCGCTGTGGGATCTCACAATCCACCCCCTTGGAGGCCCAACATCCTATTGGCACACCGCTCGGTGTCTAGCTCTGATACCATTTGCAACAATCCAAGCCCACTAGTAGCAAATATTGTCCGTTTTTACCCGTTACATATCCCCCTCAGCCTCACGATCTTAAAACGCGTCTACTAGGGAGAGGTTTCCACACCCTTATAAGGAAATATTCGCTCCCGTCTCAAAACCGACATGAAATCTCACCATATACATCAATTAACTCCAAAAATAATATAAATTGATCATAAACTAAACACAGTTACTCCCCCCCTCATAAGAGTAAATTACAATGAACAATGAACTAATAATAAACAGAGCACCTACAAACTAACAGAAATGTAAGAACTTGAAGGATTTATGTGCTCAACAAAATTAGCAATCTGAAGAATGGTAAGAACTTGAAGAAGAATCATTCATATCAAAACCTTAAAGCCCACGAAAAGATGAACAAAATCAAGAGCTGAAATGAAGAGACCTGTAGCTTTGAACTTGCACC